CACACACACACACACACACACACATACGCGCATGTAACCTTAGAAGTTACCTAGAGATGTGGTGACCCCTGTTGATCGCGTCCTTAGTTTAGTTTGCCAGCACAGACAGTCTTACTCTTCACCTTTATCTGGTTTAGGGTAAGAGTCGTAGTCTCCACCTCGACTGGATGCCAATGTTCTCATTCACCATAAAGTACCACTGATAGTCAGTAGCTGCTACTTTTATTTGCATCTTGGAAAAAGGTGAAATATACTCACGCATATTATTGAGGAAGTTTAAATGTTGCTCCTAATGACTCCTCACGAGCCCATTTCCTCCTGCACTTTTTATCTTGACATAGCAAGAAAAATGAGTCATGATAGATTACCTAATTATTGCAAAAAATATTTAAATCTTGCAATGAAAAGATGTATTACAAAGTAACACATGTATTATTGTCAGCCTACCTCTCTGACCTGTCTTCCCAATGTGATGTTTGTGCAAGGTATGTATGGTTGGAAGGGTTGGTGTGCATGCATCAACCAGCATGCAGCCTGCTGTGTGCCTCAGGGATTAATGAAGTGTTCTGATTCTGAGAGACAGCATGAAATCACTGACATTTGGTCTAAAGATAACAAGAACAACATGATCAGTTACATCTCTCTAATCTTCTGCCAGCTTTAGCTGGTACTATAAACATACTGAGAGTTATAGGAATGAGTGCTTGCTGAGAAGGAGCCAGCTAACTTCCACATTGAAGCGTGATGGTTGTTGGTTTATGGATAGCTTGTTATACACTGCAGGCACAGTGTTAGTTCACACAGGAACCTGCTGTAAAAAGGAGTTTTCTAAAATAACCATAATCGTGTCTGTTTGATTAAATGCTTGTAAGCGTGTGTAAGGGATGAAGCCTGGTGAAGATGTACTGTAATCCTTTTTCCTGTAGACCTGCCCCCGAGGATGCTGGGCCCCAAAAACCAGCTAATAAAAGTCATTAAGAACAACCGCACCTTCCTAGACTGCCCCTTTTTTGGTTCGCCTTTACCGGAGCTACGCTGGTGAGCATCTAAAGCCTCCTGGTCTTTGACAGCCAGAGTCAGCGGCAGTATCTCCAGCTGTTAACCATGTGTTTTTATTATGTGTAGGTTTAAGAATGGACAGGGCAGCGGGCTGGATGGAGGCCAGTACCGTGTTTACATTAATGGTACCCTGGAGATAAAGCGGGCCCGAGCAGAGGACGAGGGAACCTACACCTGTGTGGCCAGCAGCATCTTGGGAAAAGCTGAAAACCAAGTGCGCCTGGAGGTCAAAGGTTAGATGTTAAAAATGAAAAGTGAATTCATGAATGACATGAGATCTGCTTGAGCAGGTCTGTGCCTGTTCTGAATGACTTCCTGTCACTGTGCCAAGCAGCCTGCACTCTCTGCCTTTCATTAAACGTTAAACTGTGACAGAGTGACAACGAGAGCGTGAACATGCAGAACATCTTAAATCAACATTTGTTTCAACTTGTTTTATCCAAGCCTGCCTGCAGTGAGCCAACGATGGAAATAACAGCTCACCTTACATGTCAGGGTGCATTAGTAAGACTGCTGAAGCTGTTTGTAGTCCTGTCTGCGTCACATGTTACACCAGAGGAGAAGCGCAGAGGCTGGTGGGATGCACCTGACTTTGTCTACTTGTTTTGCCTGCTAACTGTACTGTGGATCTTTACACAAAGGGATTGCATTGTTATGCAAATACAGTCTCCATGATTCAATTTTCTTGCACATTTTCTGTATCTAAATCTTTGCAGCTTATCTCATATTGAACAGAGATGGAAAGAGTAAATTGGTCATGTTTTGGATGAGACTGTGGCACCTGACCATGCAGCTCCACACAGTATTATCTACCACTTGTGTTATTGGATGCGTCTAAAATGTTCATGTAGTGCATTGCTCTTCATCTTAACTGTGACCCAGAGCCGACTCGCATCATTCAGGCCCCCGAGCACCAGTCAGCCATCAGGGGCTCCACGGCTCGCTTCACGTGTAGGGTGACGTCTGACCCCAGCCTTCCTGTCAGTGTGGCCTGGATGAAGGATGACAAGCCTCTTTACTTGGGATGGAGGTAATGACCCCTGCGTTTGCTCTTTTTTAACAACCTGTGCTGTGCTGTCACCCTCTTTGTCTCTGCTTCAAGCCTGACTAAACATGGTTGTGGGAAAAGTTGTTCATTTGCTCTGAATCTAACAACAAAGTTTCACAGTGTAGTGAAGGGTATCGAACCCAGTTCTTTTTATTCTTCTCCTGGACAGAGAAGACGCAGAGTGGTCAAAGTATTTATAATCAATTTATTCAATCATTACTTTCTGGAAAGGGGATGTGCACGCTGCTAAGCATCGGCAGGTCTGGAGCATTAAGCCGGATGCGTACATCATAGTCTGTTATTTTGGCACTCGCACGTCGCACACAGTTTCAATCCAAACAACTTCTTTACCTCTGGCCTTACTTGATGTGTGTGTTGCTGGTGGAGTGATTACGTGCGCTACCCTCTGCCTAGTTCCTGTCTGCATCTGTTTCCTGTTCTTAATATACCGCCTCTGCAGCTCTGCACAGCTCCAGTCTGGCTGAGCAACTGGTTTGTGAGTCAAAGCTGGCCTGTTATTAAAATGCATAAACAAAACAATCAGAAAATAAGCACTAAGAAAATATATATATTCCTTAACAAGGGTAAAGTGGCCTGGGTGTGGTTTGCAGTGCTGTGATTGGTGTGTAGTTGTAGCAGTGAATTGTAGTGAGGCTCTGTTACTAAAAATCTAGTCTCAGTTTTGTGACATGCAGGTGATTCATAGTTCAGACAATGACTCTTCAAGACCCAAAGCAGAACACATCTGTAATGTTTGCATGCCTCAAACATTAATGATGACACCTTCAGTATTTCTTAGTACCATTCTTTAATTCGCAGGCTTGCAGCGGCAACACAGTCTGCAGCGCTAACTTGTTCATCTACCGTTTTCTGTTGTCTCCTTTTTTTATAACCCCCTTCCGCCTTACATTCGACTTTTCAAAATAAAAGTTCCGTAAACATCACAACATCCATGGTTAATTAGTGGCACATTTAGAAAATGAGCAGACCAATTGCCTTCAAACAACCAAAAGTGTTGCCTTGGCAACAATTGAGTCAGTTTGAATGAGCCAAAGGGAAGGTGAATCCTGTAACCCCTTCATCTCTACAGCGTGTGTCAATAAAGGATCAGAGTCTCTTTCTAGTGGTTTCGATGGGTCCATTAAATTACAAATGCTGTACTGGGACGTTGGGGAGTGCCCCCACCCATATCACTCCAACCTACCCACTGTTTCTTCCCCAGTAGCTATGTATAAAGCATTTGTAGTGAAGGGTAAAGGTTCGGGTCCCTGAGTCAGCGGGTTTGTTCCAAACAGCCTTCACTGTCAGCTGGAGCGAGGCTGAGTGTGTAGCTGCAGAAGGTGCGACGAGTTTAAGACATGGCTGAGAAACACAACTGTTGCTAAGCAGGCCGACACGTTATATATGATGATGGTTTATAGACTAACAGAAGTACATGGACTTGGGAAATGGTTTAAAATAAGCTGACTCAGCTGCCACTCATTTCTCCTGAGGAGCAGCTGGCTATACTCAGAGGTGGGAGGTAATGAAGTACAAATACTTTGTTACTGTACTTGAGTAGTTATTTTTCTTGCAACTTATATAAATAAAATAACTATAATTGTGCAGTGTGCTAATGATATATCAGTGGTTACTTCAGAGTGTTTATCAGAGTGACGTAGCTGAGACACTCATCCATGTGCACAACACAGAGCGGGTGATGGCAGCAGCTCCTGTGGAACTTTCACAGCTGCCACAGGAAGAACCTCATCTGGGCCTTGTTTTGCACATGGTGGATCACTTCAGATTCCTTAGGATCCACCTTTTTGTGATGTGAAGTGGTCCTCACATACAGACTGTTGTTGAGGATGGCGAGAGGGCGGAGCATCCGGTAGTTTCTCCACAGTCTGTACCAGTGGACCAGCTGATCCACCTCCGCTCAGACGCATCGTCATTCTGGATCAGACCGATAATGGTGGTGTCATCAGCAGCGTTGTTACTTTGAAAAAGTAATTAATTATAGTTACTAGTTACTTCTTCAAAAAAGTAACTGAGTTAGTAACTGAGTTACAAGATTCTAAAAGTAATTAATTACTAGTAATTAAGTAACTATTGCGTTACTTTAAAAAATAACGTGTAACCCTCTGGGCTCCAGGGTAGAATTGGCCGTTGCCCACAGTTCACCTTTAAAACTGTTTCTTTGCCTTGTTTGGTCTCGTGTGTATTAATCAAACACACAAAGAACAGACAAGCTTGATGAAGTCCCTGCATGACTGCGGGACAGACGGTCAGCAGAGTCTGAGCCCAGCATGGCTCTCAGTGAAATACCTTCTCCAGGAACAAACACAGCTGTTTCACACTCCCTTGCTGCCTCCCAGAGTCCTCGAAGACACAAAAGACTCTTCCTGTGGAGTTGTCTGCTTCCCCCAACTTCCTTACTACACCCCCACCATTTGTCTTACTGTATGAGTGTGAGACATGTTAAAATCCAGTGACACCAAGGCATCATCCAATAAAATAATGTGATTAATACATACAGTGGGGCAAAAAAGTATTTAGTCAGCCACCGATTGTGCAAGTTCCCCCAC